TACGGATGGATCGTATATAGGGAAACAGAAGTTATCGTCGCTCTCATGATGAGAAGGCATCAATATGATGACAAAGTTGACGTGAAGGAGCGCAGTGTAGCCACAGTGAGCGTCATATGGTTTGATCTGATGTGGCGTTTACGGACAGAAGTGAAAAATTTGGGATAAGTAGGAAGTATAAGTTGCAGAGGGTGAAGTTCTTACGAAACGGAATCCCTCAATACATGCAGTAACATCTATCCTTACTTCTGTGTGATCCTGCTCTTTTTTTTATAGGTCTCTTATTTTTCATGGGTCTTCATGATCTCTTTTTCTTTTTTGAAAAATACACATAAATACCTGTTTAATGCCAGTGTTCCATCTACAATGATGCTTTGCAGGGGTACGAGACGTCACAGTGGTAATGTAGACTACATCATTGGTATATGCTTCATCATATACGGGATCACGGCTGAGGTCAGAATCAATACTTTATCAAAGTTGCGCCGCAAGAGCTGCGACAAGTTACGGTAGCACAGTAAAATGATTGTATCCAGCACCTATCTCCCAAGAAAGGCAGAAAAGACCAAGGATCCACTCGATGCAGGCTGTTGAGGAAATGGTCAACCGTAGAGGATTTCCTACTGGTTCGCACGTACTTTGACTGCTTTACAGCTCTTCCTCGTTTTTTTTTGAGAGTATCTCCTTGCCGAAAGTTCGACAGCGATTTTCTTCTCGTCCCCACGTGTAAAAAAGCAAATTAGCAATAAATTGGTTAAGCAGATAAAAATAATATTTAACGAAGAAGTTTTAGGCGGAAGATTTTGGGGGACACAGGGCGGATCAAAATTACGCAAAGCGACAAGCGCGTAGATCCCAACTCCACTCAACTTGTTTCTTGTCTCAGCACTGTACACTACTCCTTCAACGGGTAGACTTTGGAGAGATGAAATTCTTGTGGCTTGTTTTCTTCCCTATGATTAGTAGGCCCTCAGAATGAGCTCAAGGTATTAATGTAATATGGGATTTTCAGCTATTATACGTTCTGGTGTTACAAGTCATCGTACGGAAGCAATATCGCCGGCTGTCGTGCTACAAAATCATGCTCGTACTAGGTATATTCTTCTCAAACATACAATCTATACAGGGTGGGCGAAAATTACGTTGGCAAGAGGTTGACGCTGTCAACTTAACCGCACCCGGGACAGTAGTAAACCTCCCTCATTAGCGTTAATGTGTCGTCATTAGTTCGGATAAAAGTCATGTTTTGCTAACAAGTCTAAAGCGCTGCGCAACACAAGTAAAAAAGTTCGCCGTATAGCGTACGCGCATGCATGGTCCGCTCGAGTGGGAGGCTGGTATGAATCGATCCAGCACTGCAGAAAAAGTGAGTCCAACCCCAGGACCGATCTCTACTTCAGGGCAAGTACGTGGTCTTCTCAGGGAGCTCCCTCAGGCAAGCAGACCCGTGCAGGTTTATACTTGTGTCAATGAATATGGTTTCTGCTTAGGGTAGCGTGAGATGTAGCATGAGCAAGACTGACAGATGGTGAAAGTTCACCGCATCATCGTAGATTCTCCATTCCGTGTGGTGTTATATAGCCTGCGCATTGAAATAATGGTCAATGAGCACCTCATGGTTAAAGGGAGAATGAAAAGGAAGAGCAAGGTTGAATAAAGCCATAAAGAAAAGCGGAAATAGTAGAAACCAATCATACGGACAATTAAATTGTTCCAGATAGGCCAACTGAAAGAGAAGTAGGAAAGGTGTTCGGTGAAAAGCCTCAGAATTCGTGGCCTTACATTGAAGAAAGAAACTATGTTGTATAGTGCTACGAACAAAATGCAGTCTCCAAAATTTTCTGGAATTCACGTTGACCGGTCAACGATGATATGGCGGTAAGGCCGACTTTGTCGATTCTTGCGGAATCTAGGGCGGGATTTCCGTCGGATTCGTTAGCTTAGCGAATCGCAAAGTAATTGACGATCGGCTAATACAGATAGCAGCAGTAAAATTTTTCAATAGTCGCAACCTAAAGTTTTATATAGAGCGTAAGCGAATGGGATGCATGACAGAGGACCTTCGGAGAAGGTGCGAAAGTGAAGCGAGTAGAGCACGGGATTAGAGCTTACAGTCAGCCTACGCGAGAGGATTGAGCAAAGTGATATGAAAATCTGTAAGATAAGTCATGTATCTGTACAGATTTGTTTTGTCCAGATAACATGAGGGATCGCAGCAATGGGAATAAGCAAAGAGATAGGGAAGTTGGTATGGCGAGCGAAAATTAGACGTGAGAAATTAGCAAGTTGCATGCAAAATTTGTATAGAAAAAATAGCCAAAATCAACTCCTTCAAAATCAATCCATTTTGCTATTTTTTTATACAAATTTGATGCAACTTCTATCTCTCACACTAATTCGCGCCATCCACTTCCCTTCCCTTCTTATCCATTGCTGCGCTCCTCAATGTTTCTGGCGAAAAAAATCTGTAGATACGGACTATCTAACAGATTCCTTAGCGTCGCTTCTCCAATGCTTCGTCCGTAAGTGAGCTGTAGCTGTACATTCTCATTGCTCTTAGCTGCCTGCTTCACTTAATCGCACCTTTCTTCCGAAGGTGGTCCTTCTTGTCAAATGGCATTGTCCGGCGGTAAGTTGGCCGCGTTACGCTCCTAAAGGATAAAATTTAGGTTGCGGCTATTGAAAAACTTTATCTGCATCTTTTAGGCCGACGTCATACTTTGCGATTCGCTAGCTAACGAATCGAGCGGATCGCTAATCGAATCGCAAAGTCGGCCTTAGCCATATTCGTGACGCGTCAACGTAATTCCAAGAACAATTTGGACCTCGGCATTATTTTTTCTGGGCGACCATATAAACTATCTCTTCTTGCTTTCAATGTAAGTCCACGAGATCGAGCTTCTCACTTGAACTTGAGGGTGATGGGGAATCACACCCTCTCTACTTCTCTCTCAGTTTGGTTCTATCTATCCTGACACATGTTAGTATGTCCGTATAGATTGGTTTCTATATTTTCGCCTTTCTTTATGGCTTTCAATTCACCCTTCGCTCTCCCTTTCATTTCTCCTTGTATCATGAGGTCTCATGACCATTTATTTCAATGCGCAGGCTATAACACCAACGAATGAGAATTACGGATGGATCGTATATAGGGAAACAGAAGTTATCGTCGCTCTCATGATGGGAAGGCATCAATATGACGACAAAGTTGATGTGAAGGAGCGCAGTGTAGCTGCAGTGAGTCGTCCATAATGGTTGACATCTGATGTGGCGCTTAGTCGTACGATGAAGGTGGAAAAATATTGGATAAGTAGAAATAATATTAGTTCAGAGGTGAAAGGATCTTTACGAAAGCGGAATTCCCTCAATCAGGCAGTAACATCTACTCCGTACTCTGTGTGATCTCTCCGTTGTTTTATAGGTCGTCTTATTTTTCATGTCTATCCATGTGATCTCTTTTTCTTTTTTGAAAAATACACATAAATACCTGTTTAATGCCAGTGTTCCATCTACAATGATGCTTTGCAGGGGTACAAGACGTCACAGTGGTAATTGTAACTACATCGATTGGTACAGTGTGCTTCCATCCATTACTGGATCGACGGGCTGTAGGTCAGAAATCAATATTTTATAACCACAGAGTGCGTCGCAACGAGCTGTAAAGCTTAACGGTAGCACAGTAAGGAGTGAGGCGAACTTGTAGTTCCAGCACCGGCGTATGCTCTCCAAGAATAGGCAGAAATAAGAGGCCAAGTGATCCTACTTTCGATGCAGGCTGTTCAGAAAATGGTCAAGTCTCGTAGGGAGAGGAGATTTCCGTACTGGTGTTCGTCGGCGCGGTGAGCTTTTGACTGCTTAGCAGTCTCCCCCTTTTTTGAGATTATCTCCTTGCCGAAAGTTTCGACCAGCGAGTATTTTCTTGTCTGCGGCCCCACTGGTTTTAAAAAACAAATTAGCAAATTAAATTCGGTTAAGCAGTTGATTACAAATAAATTTTTTAAGCTGGAAGAATTTTAGGGCGGAAGGAGGGTTTTGTGGGCGCCACTGGGCGGTTCAAGAAAGTTACGCCGAAAGCGACGTACAGCCGCGGTAGACCCCAACTAACTCAACCTGTTTCTGTGTACTCAAGCACGTGAGCACTACTCCGTCAACGTCCAGACTTTGTGAGAAATAAAATTCTTGTGTGGTAGTTGTTTCTTCCCATGTGATTTAGTAGGCCTCATGAATGAGCTCCCAGTATTAATTAAATGGATTTCGTTATACGAACGTTCTGGTGTTACAAGTCATCGTACGGAAGCAATATCGCCGGCTGTCGTGCTACAAAATCATGCTCGTACTAGGTATATCTCTTCTCAAACTTTCAATCCATACAGGGTGGGCGAAAATTATGTTGGCGAAGCAGTAGCGCTGTTAACTTAACCGCACCCGGGACAGTTGGAACCTCCCTCATTAGCGTTAATGTGTCGTCATTAGTTCGGATAAAAGTCATGTTTTGCTAACAAGTCTAAAGCGCTGCGCAACACAATAAAAAAGTTCGCCGTATAGCGTACGCGCATGCATGGTCCGCTCGAGTGGAAGGCTGGTATGAATCGATCCAGCACTGCAGAAAAAGTGAGTCCAACCCCAGGACCGATCTCTACTTCAGGGCAAAGTACGTGGCCTTCTCAGAGAGCTCCCTCAGGCAAGCAGACCCGTGCAGGTTTATACTTGTGTCAATGAATATGGTTTCTGCTTAGGGTAGCGTGAGATGTAGCATGGCAAGACAGACAGATGTGAAAGTTTCAACCGCCAACCAATGCGGCCAGAAAGAAATGCTCTACAGCAGTAACGTTGACAGGCTTCAGTTCCGAGATCTTACATTTGGGAAGTGTGCCCATAGAGAATGCTGTAAAAAAATTACGAGGTCATGCAATTTTTAATCAAGAATAATGTCGACCCAAACAATTTCCAGAACAAAAATGGCAGGTGGACTGCCGAGGAAGCCCTACGGGGGGGAGGGAGGGGGTTGGCACATATGTTGAAGTTGTTGAGATATATTTATAAGAATGTTTTGATGTGTTATGGAGTCGGTCTGGTGGAGTGTTCGTTTTCGATCATAATTGGTCTCTTAGTATATCCTCCAAAAGCTTAGGTTGAAGTGGCGAGATGAGGTGGTGACAAGTGTACCCACCGCGAGTATCGATTGTATAAACTTCTAGGAAATAATCTCGCGCAGGTTAGCCAACTTCCACAGTTGCTTAGTTCTTGATAAAAGCAAAAGTCTCTACAAAAACACACTTGTCCCAAAAGAGTCGTACTTTAAGTCTTGAAAACTCAGCTAGTCTTTAAAAAGCTCATTTCTGGAAGAATTTCCTGCCGTTCCTCTGTCATATGGAAAATTCTATGAGAGTTCATCCCGTGCTCACGTCTCAATTACTTTTAGGTCTCTACGATATGTGCGCGATCGGAGTGAACTCTTTGCTGACCGGGTACTTCTGGTTGATCGGTGCGAACTACTGTCTGATGCCTTTATTGATGTATGTTACTGGAGCCGCTGGCTTAGGTGAGATTATCTTATAAATAAAAAAGATGCGCTCAAATTTTATCGCAGAAAACCATGTTATGGAAACCACTTCCCACCCCCTTCCAGTAGTGGCACTTCAGTGCATGTTTAGCCTACCTTATAACTTAGACCCAAGATAAGAATTAGCCCATAGTTCTCCTCACTTCGGTTTTGACTCCCCGGCCCTCCTAATCTTAAACGTCGTGAAGGGGAAAAGACAAGTCAAAAGTAAAGACAAACCTCCTCGCATATAGGGATGAGATCGATACTTAGAAGCTTAAGGGAGGACAGCTCATCGTTAATGCGTGATGTACCAGGCGGAAACTCCCCAAGCAACCCATAAATGTTCAGCCTCCTTCAGTAGGCAGCCATTTCGACGAAAAAGCACCAACTGGTTTTCTTGGTAAGGCTGCAACATCTTCGCGTTAGCACAATAATTCCGGGAAAGCGTTAATCTGTGGACTGACGAAGAGTTCAAGGCCGTGAACAGACGCTTGGGAAAGCCTGTCCGCATATTTATTCTACGCAAATTCGCGCTTCGTCAACCAGTAATAAATCACCGCTAGTAATCAGATAAATGTATAGTGAAGCTCCTTGATAACATGGTTTTGTCGAACCAATCAAGCAACGCAGACTTGCCTCGATTCTGCTAATTAGTTACTTTGGGATCACTATGAGTATGGGATCCGACAGGCCGCTGATCACTGCGCTGCGCGCTATGAATTGTCAGTACTGCCTCCTTACTGTATTTTCTAGAAGTTTCCTACAGTCTTAGCCGCTTCTTTTTAAGCGGGAATATTGCGCTGTTCGAAACTAATGAAGAAGAAGTGAGCTGAGAAATGGTCGGAATTATCACTACTTACAGGTCTATGGTGCGGTGCATGCATGATTTGCTTCGTTCTAGTCATCAATCGATTACTGGATCTTTGGGACAAGCACACGATGCAAATGGTAAGCTCTTTTTCTCACATTACATTGATGTCTTAGTATGAGTTATTGCTCTCTACAATGGCCCTAAGTTGTAATCTAGTTGCTCTACCAGTGCTGAAAAGCAGAAAATGGTAAGAATCTTTGAAGGAACCATCCAACAAGAGCTTTTCAATATGCCCTCTATTAATCGTTGGCATGAGCGACAGACCCTCCGATAAAGACGAGAAAAAGAAACAAAAACTGCGTCTGTTCCGCTAAAGAATCCGAAAAAGTAGGAGGGCTGCTACGCTTTCAAGTACCTACCATGCATCTGTAATGAAAAATGTGACGGCAGGAACGCTTCTACTTGCTTCTTGGGGTGCCGTCATAAAAAATTCCTGGCCCTTGTGCCTTCGGCAAGAACATTCCATTCTATCACTGCATTCTATTCTATCGATTATTTTATCTCTATTCTCCGAATTCGACTAGTTCAACCCGATTCTTTTCATGAATCGCCTGGTACTTGGACGCCCCAACGTGCTATTCTTTCCATGCGCTTCCTTGTCTCCATCCGACCTCGACCGTCAGTAGAGTGTGGTTTTCCTGAGTTCACAACCGACATATACATTTCGAAAAAAAAGGAAGCCTTTTTTTAGAAAGAGTCCTCATAGCGACGGTCGATTTGCGGGGCTGACTAAAGGATTTATTCAGTGGGTCGTCGGAGTCTGTAGAGGAGTAACGGTTTCTTATATCATGAATACGATATAATTACTATAGCGTACATTGAATGTACATAATAAAAGATAGACGACGGCAGCGATGTTCTTTTTATTATCATCGGCTACATCGACACTAACGGCAGCTCGACGAGAAGCACGAAGACGACGAAACCTGCTTAGTGATAAAGATGTGGTCGCGATGATATGACGCAACGCCGTTGTCTGAAAGACCATACATATAAAGTTTTGATTGCGCGTGGTGTGGCCTCACAAAAAATGCACGAATTATAACAGAAATGAGAACATCTCACAGCAAATCAACCATCCTGCTCTCAAAGGACGGACCAAATCTTGTCGATGGCTTTCACGAAGGCAGCCCACGAGTGACTAGGTGGAACCCATTTTGGCCAGCTATGTCGCGCAAATTTACGTGGTTACTAGCGGTCCTCTGAGGCGTTCATGGCAATTTGTGAGCGCCCATCTCCGAATACGGAGTGGATGACACAATGACATCAAAAATGAGGACGCCACGAGAGCTGTGCTGCTGCGGTGGAGGGAATGTAGACCGCAGCAATCCGTTGTACACGGTCAACCTGTAGTAGGTGACGGGAATACGCCGGGTAGGTGGAGTACAGCATCCTTCTATCCAAAATGTAGCATCGAGAATACCGCTGGGACCTAGCGTAGAGCGCGACTGGAAATCTTTTTGAATAGAGTCGGATATCGGATAGAAGTCACGACATTTCTCTTCACCCTCGAAGTAATTGCATCATTTACAATAACTTAAGTCGGTTCTATCATCTATCATTCTCGTCTTGACAAGCGCAAAGTAGCTGTCACAAGGTTCAATGTCATCCTTGGCACGAAAATATTTGGTTATATGCCTAAAGCTTTATGAGGATTTATTTCACTTGTATTTAGTTGTTCAAGGACGCACGTACCTACGTCATTCTGCTGATTCCATTCTGTTACAGCCTCTATTTCACGCTTTTCACACCACCCCTGCTGTTCAATTCAGATCACACTGCCTGGTTTTTCAGTTCCTTCGCAGACAACCACAATATCGACGAGGTATGGTGATTTTCTTCTCTGATGTATTCAATCGCGTATCTAAGAAATAGAAACCTTGAGGGATCTAATCGTGATGGCTTCAGTTTTCACCCTATTGCGTACCGCAGCGTTTCCACGCGGCTATTTACCGTGTGCCGCATGGATATATTTATTCATTTTTTGAATTATGTGCATCTACCATATAAATGCCGTACAGATATATGTATTTTGGATATTTGTAATATTTCATGTATATTTGACCAGTGGACTTGTTATTAACACATGAAGGATGGTAGGTTTGGTTACAGATCTGCAATTTAGGAATTAAGAATTCGTAGTGAAGTATAAGGAATGAACAATCGAACGAAAAAGGTTCAAATGAGTTCTATTATTTTCGATCCTTGAAGCCAGTTCTAGTGAGTACCGTTTTTTTCAAAAATCCCACCGCACCATGGTTGTTCTATAGTGTAGAACTTGATTCTGAGGCCAGTCGGCACGGGTTACGCAAACTACCGTCTAATTTTTTGCTCACAGAATATCGGCCGTTCGAGAGTTGGGAACGAATGTGGTAGTAAGCTATTGAAAAGCAATTCTAGCCTTTCTCTCTATTTCAAGCTTTCACATTCAATGACAATTTCTAACACCAAACTCGTCGCACAGACCCGGTCTCGACAAAACACCAGGGTTTTTAAGGCAATATTTATATAGTACTGGTATTTTAGAAATATTATCGATTTCTCCGTATTCGCTTCCGGTTACCTGAAGTAAGTCTCTATACCTCCGGAATGGACAGATCTTCTGCAGGGGTTCGAGAAATAGCTACTCCTATTCTCGCTCACAGGCAGACGAGCTGTTTGATTGTGTTCCATTGCGACAGAAACTCTTCGAGACCTCGGTCGACCACGGCTACAAATTTCACATGCTGCTTACCAGCATCAATTGATCGTCTTGAAAGGATTGTTTGTGCGACTCCACGAGCAATATCTCGAAGACACGTGCGAAGAAGCGCTGGGAGCGGCTCGCTCAATCCGTCGTTTGCTCGCTGGAACTGCTGCCAAGCACTTCTTTTTGCAACGATTTAATTGCACTCGTCTCAGCAGGAGGGCTTACAGGCCTGAAAATGGCTAACTCCTAATCAGCCCATCATGAAAACTGCATAGAAAGCAAAGATGCTGAAAGACTTCGTCTTGATTCCGTAATATTTATCGAATATTTCCTTCGATGAGGAGAGATATTCTGCTTTATGGCCAGTCTGGAATAGGAATGACAACCGGACCAGTGCTCAAAAGCCAATCAGTCATTCAGTGGTGCTTTTCGCAAAGATCATGCGAGCAGGAATCATTCAAATTCGAAGACGCCTCGACCTCTGCTGCTCGAGTTATAAAAATGGATCGTAAAAATCATCTCGAATACCCTCTGCTTGATTGATGCTCCGAAGCGAAATGACCCTCAATAGTTTCACAAGAATGCTGGGTTGTGAACAAAACTTTCGCCCCAGGCGGGACTAGAACCCGCACCTCTCGCTTTCCGGGCAAGTGCGCTACCAGTTACGCTACCGGGCACCATTTCTAGTCCCGCCTGGGGCGAAAGTTTTGTTCACAACCCAGCATTCTTGTGAAACATTCGCAACGCGAACTGCGGCGTTAAAACAGCAGTTACAAACAAAACCCTCAATAGTTAATACACGCCCAGAGCGGGGAACCCACCCATAGTGCACAGATTGTTCAAAAATCGATGCCGACAGAAGTATCGTGGAATTCATCATATTAGAGAAGTGGCAACATAGCTCTCCCAACTCAAGTCCTGTGGAATGCTCTGTATTGAGTGTGCTCGAAGGCAATACATGCTACAAGCATAACAGAACATCGACTAGTTGAGCAGTCGTTCTAGAGAGCCTTGGACTTACTCGACAATACCTGGCACAACAGAGTCGACGACTTTCTAGGGAGTTTTCGTTTATTTATGAACGCAGAAACCGGCTACTCCAAAGAGCAATAATGTTTATTGTTCAGTAACTTTCTTCCAATATGGTTGTGTCTATTTGGGACTTCACGGCCAAAATGCTTTTTTATGACCAATTTATGATTGTTACTGTATTTTTTGCCCACCAAGTAGAAGATAATAACTTACAGAGGCCTTATTCTCCTTCGGTTCACACCCTCTCAGGGGGCGGGCCGACAAGCAATTTGCAGCGAAGGATTTGCTCCCGGCGACCTAGCACGGCGCCCTCAACGTGCCCACCGCAACCAAATGGCACAGGTTCCTTAGCCGCCTAGTAGCAGAGAGAGTGTTGAGGAGGGCGAGCAACGATGCGAGTCGCATTAATGCGAAAACCAATGGGCAGATAGAAGTCATATTATATTTGAGGCTCTGAGCCGTTTCTCATGATTTTTTTCCATCCCGGCACCAGTGACCACCTTTATTCTAATAGGCTGCCTCCTGATCGTGAACTTCGCCTTCAAGCTGATCATGTACGTAGCAGATTAGGGGCACTGCGCTGGGCTCCAGATCTAGCAAAGACCGAGGACCCTCAATCTATCACGATGACTTGATCATACGAAAGACGACGAAACAAGTGGATGACGGTGGAACAATCGACTAGTAGCCTTCTTTCGTATGCATACCAACCGTGCCGACTGCGGCTGCTGCGAAACGACTTTGGCGTCCTTGTATTGAAGTAGATGATGAAGCGACTCCCTCTATCTATTACATTATCTTTAACACTATTTCAGTTCTTCAACTATCCACACACTACCAATAACCTGCTCATAGTTGTGCTCACATGTTTACTGTATGTGCAGTACTCTAGACTACTACTTCGTCACTCGAAAGTGGGTGCAGGATTGTCGTGGGCACAGAAATCGGTGAGACTTTGGGATCCTTTAAAGTGCAAACGCGTGTTCAATAGTGGTGGATAATTGGGATTATCCGTATTTCCACATGCTGTTGGGTTGATCGTGAACTACGAAATGACTCCTACCTTCAGGATTTTCTTGTTTTTCCTATTTTTCTTCGCAAATTTATACTCGTTTAGTTTTTCTTGCAATCGTCGTCAATTTGTATGGCTAATTTGATTGCGGCGCTGATCTACGTCTACATGCAGTTCTTCCCAACGCCGTCATATTTCGTTCTTGTTGGCCATATCTGCTGGCAGCTTGGTCATGGTACGATTGCGTATGCTTTAAAAGAAGTTAATTCGGGCTGTATTCGAAATTCCACGTGCTAGCAGTGGTGTGTGAGATCTGCATATGGTCATTTAGGTATGCCTCAAAGGCAGAATGGTATGATAAACTGATTGCTCTTTGGGAATGAAAGAAAAGGGCAGTATATTAGGTTATGAGAAAAGTTCTTGCCGTTTCTGGTCCTAAATCTAAATTAAATATCTGAACTAAATCAAAACCTTAGTAAAGACGTACTTAGTAAAAACAGTTACAATCTACTCTTCTTTGCTAGCATTTACTGAGTTTGACCAATCTGAAAGTACCGGAGCTCTGGTGGTGGCGAGTTTGGTAGAGGTCGTTTCACCTTCATTCAAGGTGTTATCCAGACGGGTGAAAGAATGGCAGCGAATGGGTGTATCATCTAAGAGTGGAACGTTTGGAGCGTAGTTCAGTACTCAGAGTTTTTCTGCAGCATCGGTTCTGCGCTCCGCGGCTGGGATGCACCGCGTAAAACAGTCGGCCCATTCATGGCAACACTTGTTGGGTGCATGTGTCAAGATTGCGAGGTATTTTAACAAATTCTGAAGAATACTGTCTCCCAATACTACATTGCGACGCATAATTATAGTTCCACCTACAAATTTCCCAAAAACTTGAATCTGGGATGTTTTTGAAAAAGGCTCTACAGACAAATTGTGACACATATAAACGCGAATCTGAATATTAACACGGAAATCCAGTTTGAGAAAGCAACAATTTTTATCCTCATTTTTTCGAAAATACCCGCTTTGCCTATGACGCAAAATCATAGTTCCACCTCATGTTTCTCCGCTGCATTTTGCTTTTACCCAATCAAATTTTGAAATTATTACCAGTCCACGTTCCAGTCCAGTATTACCCATTACATAAAAGCATTTATGATGGTGATTGAGAGCTCGTGTTTATTCATTATATTCCACATGAACGGAAGTCGCACCGTTCTCATGGTTCCTGAACATGTTATGATATGTAGCTTTATGGAAATGAACCTTACTTGTCTTCTTTGGTTCAGTTCTCCATCAACAACGAAGTTGAAAGCAGCATAATGCCCTAAGTAACATCGAGTTTTTCAGGATTTCCCGCTTTTGTTTACCTTCTGCTGAACCGAACAATCCAGCGTGAGGCGCTTCTATTCCTGGGATTTCGCAAACGTCAGATTATTGTGAGACCAAGTATTGCCGTCGCATCGAAGACAGTGGTGGCCACCGATGGTTGACGAGGACGAGTACCACAAATGCAAGACTCGAGACATATGATCAAACGAGTTGCAATTGTGCTACCAGTCAGCGAGATTTCTTCTTAGATTACTCTTACTTTTTCTGATCTTACTTGTGTGAAAACAAGCTATCTCACAAGTTTTGTATAGTTGAGACGGAGCGGATGTGTAAATGATTATCTCTTAATTCATTCAAATGCAATGTGTACGGCAGTGCTTGAATTGCTCTTGCGCTCTGATTTCATCGCGTTATAAAGGATTGTTCCAGGCCTAAAGAACAGTATCACGAACGATTTTCGTTGTAGAAGGTATGGTATGTATGGTATGTAGAAGGTATGGGTTCCATGAATTCCTTCCTGAGTGGATTGAGCGTAATTCGGACTTCTAAAATAGAATTGCAGGCCATAGAATTATTCCATTTACAAGTACTACATTATTAGTTGCCAATTTGACCGTGAATGATGAAGAAAAACAAGTTTATAAGCTGTAAGTTTGTTTTAATGGATAATAAGAAAGATACAGCTAAAGTAGTTGATGACATGCTTGAGTAGAACTTCTATTGAACAAGCTGGTTGTTTTACACTTGTATACTTTCCTTTCGCGCTCCAATGCAACCGAGTGTGTGTCATATGCTGATTACAGGGTGGGGCAAAATTACTGGTGCACCAATATTTTGCTGGCATTTCGAGACTAGCTTTCAGAAATCGATTCTAATCACGAATATTATTTGTAGAAAAGATGACAATTCAAAACGTATAACAGTTCTCAAAATGATCGCCTCTAGCCTTTACACAGTTCTCTGAGCATTTGGCATACGCATGCCATGTGGCACGCAGGTATTTTTCATCAATTTTGTCCCAGGATTCCAAAAGCGCCGTCATGAGAAGGTTCAAATTTTCGGTAATTGATAGGGCAGACTTTTTCCTTTAGGATAGCCCATACTTGGGAAATACAGTAGCGGTCAAAAGTCTTCGCCGGAAATTCTTTTTCGACTGTAACTTTTTTCCGCTGAATCAAATCAGTTCAAATTTTAATATGTTTTGGAGACAGTCCTACTTCACTTAAACGGCACATTTGTTTCGGATTGAGAAAGAATTAAGAATGGAAAAAATCATTTCACTAGAAATTCTCGAGTATGAGCAAATTCCAAGTAAGTTTCAAATTACTCTAGCAAGCTTACAATTCAACAAAACAATCTTACGCATGATGAATAACACTGGGCAGGTCCAATACTTTGTTAATGATCTTCTGGGTTCGCTGAAATACTAACAAGGCCTAAGTAAGGAATCAGTCATTCAATCAGTCAAGGAATCAGTCATCCGTCATATACACTGAAACACTTAGAATAGCTAACACTTGTTCCGTTTTTGACACCTTTACTGATAAACTAACAGAATTCATAAGAGTGTTACTAGGAAATGGGTTACCATGAGAACTTTATTATAACTAATATAGTTAAGTGCATTTATAAAAATAAGTTTATATGTTACAAATTTTCAATTGCTAATAATTATAAAAATATTAGTAAGTTAGTGGAAGGAATACTTCGTCACTAAAGTGCTATCTAATTGTTAGTGGAACAATTACAAACACCCACCTTTTACACTTTATAGTTTTACATGTTTAATCAACTTATTTTTCATTCATTTAGTCAATATACAATTCATTTCATTGCATGCTCCTCTGCATGAAAGTACGTCACATCAAGGTTTATTCGTCTTTCCCCTGTGTCTTTATTTCGCCAATCCCAACTCACTGATGAGCTCCGGGGATTGACGAAATAATAAGGTTCGTCTGAGGAAGGAGCGAAACGAACCGTATCTATTATTTTGTTTATAATGGTTTTTCTTTCTTAATTGAAGGCACGTCACTAGGGCAGTTTCCTCCACTTCTCTTGAAATTTGACGAGTTTCTCGTCCATATTCCCGGGTCTTATTTCCACCAAAGGTTACTCTTTCCCATAATGTTCGGGACATTGGTGTGAATTGTTCCCTTCGTTGAAAGCGCGCCATGCTGTCGAAACCAATCCTTCACAGTGAAGGTGCGATGCTTTTGGTCGCTCTATAGCTAGAAGGCGAACTCAGTCACGTACAGTTTCATACGAGCGGATACGAAACTCCTTCTAGAATCTATCTGATACGTCGGCATTCACCACTTCTCTAATCCTGTGCAGTTGTAAAACTTCTTTTACGGACTACCACACGCGAGCCTCCGCCAAGTTTTACATACGGCAGTTAATTCCTTGGATCGAAACGTTTTTCCTCAGGACCCACACATTCCTATTTCAGTCGCCGGCAAACATCTTGAATTTACTCTCGTTGGTCCGCAGGACGTTGTAGCCCTATGGGGATCCCCACTTTAGGTGTGCGTAAGCCCATTTCGCCCCCGACCAGTTCACCGCCGACTAACTTCGCAGTATTCGCAATCATGTGAAGGCAGCCTATACAGTTGGGTTCTAGAAGGAGCTCTTATCCACATGTATGACAGCTGCCCGCGACTGAGCTCGCCTTCTAGCATTAGTGCGACCAAAAGCATCACACCTTCACTGTGAAGGAGTGGCTTCGCCAGCATGGCGCGCTTTCAACGAAAGGAACAATTCACACCCATGTCCTGAGCGCCATCGGAACATTATGGGAAAGAGTAGGGATACCTTTTGTGGAAATAAAGCCGGAAATCTTATATACCATACATTACTGTTATATTTATCTGGGGCGAGGACGCAGTTGAATTTCACAGAGAAGTGGAGCGAAGCTGCCTTAGTTGATAGTATTTCAGCGAACCCAGAAGATCATTAACAAAGTATTGGACCTGCTCAGTGTTATTCATCATGCGTAAGATTGTTTTGTTGAATTGTAAGCTTGCTAGAGTAATTTGAAACTTACTTGGAATTTGCTCATACGCGAGAATTTCTAGTGAAATGATTTTTTCCATTCTTAATTCTTTCTCAATCCGAAACAAATATGCCGTTTAAGTGAAGTAGGACTATCTCTAAAACATATTAAAATTTGAATTGATTTGATTCAGCGGAAAAAAAGTTACAGTCGAAAAACAATTTCGGCGAAGACTTTTGACCGCTACTGTATATCGGTCTTTCCGAAGAATTGGAGAACCATTCGTCATAATTGGTGGAGTTGAGGGTTTGCTCGGTGCACTGTTTCTGGACCATTCACGGTCAGTGTCCTGAAGCAAACCCCTTTGGTGAAATTATTAGTAATCCTCTCAAAGTGAAGACACGCCCATGGTTTTGAACAAATACCGAGTTTGAACGCTGTTTGAACAAAATTTGGGATTTGAAAAATCGTCGAGAACGGTTTCGCATAGCGCTCTTGGAGGTTGATTGGTGCATTTCACAAAGTGGAAGGCTTAACCAATTTGTGTTCAGGGCGTATTAGTAGCAGAGTGTTTAACCCATAACGGACGGCGTGCGCCACAAGGTGGCGCACGACTATTTCTTTTGTTTTTGGAATGTTTCTAGCAATCTTAATATACCCATATATACTCTCAGCAATGTGGAATAACATATCTTCCCAGGACCTGGACGGCTGGATTTTTGACAAACCTACAATAAATTTTACATACATTTTGTCTTAATTTACATAAGTTTACTATTTGATGGGTGGCTTACCCATGGTTCGCACGTCCCGAGACCCCTTCCCCTAAATATAGCCACATCCTTGCTCGGGGTTGTTGTTTCGCATTTTTCGATAATGTCACCTACAGCTTCCATTCATTCTTTGCACCCTAGTTTTAGAGCGGAAAGGCGGGCTACGAACTTGTCGTCAACGGAAATCTCTTTTTTGGATGATGAGACTCCGACACCTACTTTAGCCCCGTCTTACCCCTGCTGTTCACATAAGCCTACATAAACCCTACCCTGGGTGGCGGCGTGCGCCACATGGTGGCGCACGCGAAAAATACACTGGCCGTCCGTTATGGGTTAAAATATACTTTGGCCGTCCGTTATTAGGTTAAGCTACATACCATGAAAGAATTAGACAAGAAAGTGTACAACAAGATTTCAAAAAAATCCATTATATTTAGGTGCACCAGTAATTTTGCCCCACCCTGTACTATAGCACTCCATAATTGTGCTTCGCTGACTACGAACGAGTGCATGGCGCACCTCAAAGTAGAAGAGCCTACTGCAGAACTGTCCATATTTGGCTGTTAACGTACACAATTATGCTCTCGAGGGAGCCAATGTCTTCAAACACCCAAGTCAGTAAAAGCGGGGAGAGAGAACTCAATCAGTCCTGACACTTTACACCTCCTAGCTGACATCCCCTCCCCCCCCCCCCCCCCCCCACCTAATTTCCACTCATTTGCCGACAGGGAAACCATCCACGATTGTGTGCGCTGACTGCTACTTCAACCCGGTAACTCATCTTAAACAGAAATTGTTTATTAAATTTGAGTCTTTTATATATTATATGTGGAATATGCTTACAATGCCACCTTTATTTTCACATCAGCGCATTAAAAAAAAAGCATGAGAATAAAGGAAATCAGTTCCATCTGAAAATTCAACATCGCCAGAGTTGAGCTGCTTTCTCGCTTAGGTACACTCTGCTAGCAAATTGACTTGATCTCTAACAATATACGCCATTCTTCGATCTTTCTGAGTTATGCTGATCACTGGGTTGCCAACATCTTTTTGTTGCGTGCGCTACGACATTCATGAACGGTTCCCGTTTTTTTTTTCGACATTTCTTCTATTTTACCGGTGAGCTACGGGATTTCAATTATTGCGTAGAATCACCAGCTTACATTACTTCACTTTCTGAAGAACTAGATTTGATGACTCAGTTTACACTTTTACTATTGTGTGCATTGGGAATTTTTCAACCTCGGCACTGCCTTTCCCCTCCCTGACTAGAAGATACTGGAAGATTGCAGGAGAAGCGGTTGAAGCTGCAGCTGCAATGCATGTGCACAGGGAAACACGCTATAGAACCATGAACTTTCATTTAGCAATTCAGACGGGCTTACTTCCTTGAATT